CTGTTATTATTTTTTTTGTCGGGGAGAAATAATAATAATTATTTGTTAGCATTCAAAAAGATTTGCCAAAAGAAGGGGGAAAAAATGGAAAGGAGTAAATAAAATAAATAAACAGCTTCCTTAATGATGTCCTGAGAACTCTATTATGTGGTTTTTCTCTGGACAAAGGCCAAAAAATATCACCGCAGTTCATTGAGAGATAACGATATCCCAATCCGTATAGAAATCTATTGAATTTAATTCGTTACTGCGAGACGAGGTTTTCGCTTGAAAAAAAATTCCTTCTGCAACTTTATTTTGATGACTTTCGCATAGAATAGAATTTTTGTATGAACAATAAGTAAAGGCGAATTGTACAAGCAATTCTGGATGATAAACTTTTTATATACGAAAATATGAATTGTCACCATTACCTTAAATAGTTTTTTCGTTACTTTCTGTACAAAACAAGAAAAATTTACTATTTGTACAAAACAAAATTGTGAAGAAGTCCTATCCTTTTTGTTTTTATTCTTTTTATAAAAGAAAGTTTTTCTTTTACTTTAAAGATTTTATGAACTTAAATTTTTATGAATAAAATTAAATAACATTTTATTTTATTTATAAAAATTTAAGTTAATTTAAGCTCATTAGCTTTGAATTTAAAAATTTTTAATTATCAAAATTTGATGAAACAAAAAAATGTTTTAGAAGTTTTAAATAATAATGTAAGTATTTTTGTCGAAAACAATAAACAGAAGAGTATTTTGTGCAATATGTTTTTTAGGAGCGAGAAAAAGGGAAAGAGAGAGATAAGATCGATTTATGGGCGTGAGACAAAATCGGAGAACAATGTAAATTTTAAATGAGGACAGTAATAAGAACGTTAAACCATTTCTTTCAAGTTATAGAAAGCATCCATCGCGCGTTAGCCATTAGAACTATCCTGGTAGACGATCCCATTATCTATAATAGGATTGTCGACTAAAACCTAATGGATTCCATTTTCCTTTCTTCATACTTCGCGGAATGATAGACAAAGTTGCGAGACTCGGTAAATTTGTTAGGCATGCACGAGACTCAGTAAAAGATGTTTCAGATATTCACTTTTTCCCCCTTTCTTCTCAGAATATACATTCAACGTAGTTCACTAGCATTAAAATTCACATTTTACAATAAAATATACACCCAGAAAAATCACTAAGAAAACGATTTATTTGATTCAAACATATTTTGTTTAAATCAAACTTAAAATATCTTTGCTATACAGTGAAACATATATTTAAGTTTAATTCAAACATATTTTTTGGTTTATTTAAATAAATAATATATTTAATTCAAACATAAGTTATGGTTGATTTTAAATTATTTATATAATCAACTTTCAAGTTTGAATCAAACATAAAATTTATTAACATAATTTTTGTTTAAATCAAAACAAAAAATATGTTTGAATTAAACATAATTGTTCAAACAAATAATATTTTTGAATCAAAGCAGCAGATATTTTCTATATATTGGGATTAAGCTTACAAACTAATTTCAATTAAACAAAATCACTTAAAATTATTTTTCTATTTGAATTAAGTATAATGTTTTCTCAGTGATATTTTACGAAACATTTCCTCCACTTTTTAATTTAAAAAGAACTAAATTTTAAATCAATTTTTCCCTATTGAATCATTTTACAAAGAAAATATTTTGAATAAAAATCAATTTATTTTAATTTAGAAACATTTTCTCTAAAAAATATCTCCCCTGGTTTTATTTTGATTTGAAAAATAAAACGTTAAATAAATAAATTTCCTTCGCTTAAAATGTTATTTGACCATAAAGCTCAAAGAAAATTTACAGAATAAATCCATGAATGTTTTTCGATAAAGTCAAAAGAAAAACAAACAAAAAATTCTTCAAACTGTTTAACAACTCTTTTACAGTCAATTTCCTCTCTAGAATTCAATAAACAAAGTGCAATCAGTAAAGTCAGACCTGAAATGTTCACTTTCAAATGAAAAATCTAGAATATAAAAACTTTTTTCAATAACAAATATTTTGCTAAAAAGTGAAATAATAACATTACATTTTATATTCCCCTTGAATTTAAATTGAAAGTGTACAGAATATAAATTAACTTGTTCTGAAAAAGAATATATATTCTTTTGTAATAAACAAAAGAGGGTTGTTTTTTTTCTTTTTTTATTCGAGACATGAAAACGAAAGAATATATTAAAGTAAAGGAAAAAAATTAAATTGACTAGAAATGTCGTGTATAAAAAAAATATTCCATTTTTTCATTACTCAAAAGTAAAGCAATTCAATATTAGATACCCTGCAAAAAGAAGTATCTTAATTTAAGATGTTTTGGTAGTCATTTCTAAGATGTTTTGGTAGACCATTTTTATTTACTTGAAACATCTTAATTTAAGATGTTAAAAGTATCTTCGTACACATTTTCTGTGGTATTTTTGGGGCAAAAAGTTTTGAGGTTAACTATGGGCTCTTATGGAAAACACTTTAAATATATCTTAGTTTTTAGTAACTTACACTTATGGCGCATCTTACGATTCTCAAGTAACTTATGGCTAAACATCTTATTGCAACAGAAACATCTTAATTTAAGATACTTTAAAGAACTTACAAAAGTATCTTACTTTTCTAAGATGGAAGAAATATCTTCATCACTGCTAAAACATATAAAGCATCTTAAATATCAGTAAGATGCTTTAGAAAACATCTTATTTTAAGATGTAAGATACCATTGTTCCATCTTACATCTTATTTTAAGATATCAAAAAAGACACCTATTTTTACAGTGTAGGTACAACAATTTTAGTCTTTAATGTTTATATCGGTAATTAATCCTCGACTAAGAAATTTTATCAAATTTTACTCTCTCTCAGCCTATTAATAAAAGTTAATTAAATAAACTTATTTACATACATGCACTTTTATAATTTTTAAAGTTTTTTTTTGTAAATAATAAACCTACGTGCCGGAAATTTTTGGAAATAGTCTGTTTGCGTAAAAATAAATTATATACATATAATAAGACAAAATTTCATTTAGTCATTTCTTAGAAAATTGAAGTGGTTTACTGAATACACTGGTTCAATGTAGCCCACTCTTCCCTAATTCTAAAGCGTTGTAAAGTTATGAAATCCTTTCTTAAAAAAGACATGGAGTGGAAAGGTCGAATGTATCGAAAAGTATCGAAGTAAAGAATGGGCAATGAGAATGTAAAATCTTAATAGAAGGGTGTTTTTAAAATTGTTTGTACATGTGAAGGTGGCGCTGCAGTCGTATGTTATTTAAAAAGAGCGCGAATATATAAATTTTATTTTTGTTAAGAGAAAGTACTCATAATAAATCTTATTTTGCATTGTCAAAAAAACGTCAACATTTCAAATATAAACAAGCAAATTATTAACTGAGAGAATTTGAATATTATTATTAATGAAATAATGGACTTGGACAATGGACATATAAAAACTAGCACCGTAGACGGCCGCTTGCGGCCGTCGGAGGAGCTAGTGGAATAACAAATTTACTTTAGACAAAAAAAAAATTTTTAAATTGAATGATCAAACTTATAAGTATATTATTAAATAATGAAGATGGCTCACAATTCCCCAATCTCCTCTAATAAGGGAGTGTTCACAAATGATGTCACGTTTTTGAAGGAAGGGGGGTCTGTACTAAACGCATGGGAAATTGCGTGACAGGGGGATGGGGGGAGGGTTGAAAATCTCAAAAGATTGCGTGACATCATTTGTGAACGCTCCCTAATAAGAATAATAATTTTTTTAAAAAACATATACAATAAGGTTATTGTTTGAAATAATATTTAAGATAATTAACAAAATAATTATTATTTCAAATTATATTGATTGTTATTAATTATTATTTCTATCAATATCTGCATGATTTTAATGAACATTATTGTTTCTAACACTGTCAATTATTATTTCAAATAATAATTATTATTCCTATCAATGTCAGTATATTTTTTAAAATAACAATAATTATTGTTATGAACAAAGTTATTCGCACTGTTTGAATAAGTTAAAATGAAAATCATTATGATTCTTAACAATACTATTATTTAAAATAATAATTGCTGTTTATAACACAGACACTAGTATTTTAAACAATTATTGGTTCGCATATGGTCAGTAGTGTGTAAAATAATAATTATTATTTCTAACAATATCACTATTACTTGTAATAATAATTTTGATCCTAACAATATTATTATTTTTAATAATTATTGTACTTTGACACAAAACAAAAAATTTTCATTTCTGTTTGTAGAAACAGTAATTAACAGTAAATAACTAATACTGTTTCTTGTACAAACAGTAAATAAATTAAAACTGATTCATATTAAAAAAGTTGGAAGTTGACTATTTATTTCTTGAATTTATAAAGAAGGAAAGAAACACATTAAATAATATTTAAGTCAAGTCGATTTTTTGAAACGTGAAAATAAGAGATGTAATTTTTTGATGCACAACACTTCTCGCAGCGGTACTGACCGGTACCGCCGCAAGTGTACCAGTCGCGTCGCGCGCTAGGCTTATATAGGAATGGGCTTGAGTAGTGGGGGGCTCCCCACTTTCATTGCAGCTCATGCGCGGCGCCTATTTTCAGAGTGCCACAATGCGCAGCCTCTCACTGTTTCAATACCAACTTCTTTCATTCAATAAAATCTACAATCTTTTTCCTTTTTTAAAACAAAAATTCAGAAAAATGAGCCAAACATAATTCACAATATATTAGAATTTTCCCCGAAAAAAATTTATAGAAATGACACATCTTTTCCTACACAGTTTTTCTAAGGATAGCAAATTGAGACAAAAAACGAATAAAAAGTGTTGCAAAGCAACGTTTTGATTCGTTTTTTGCCTCAATTTGATATCCTTAAAAAAACTGTGCAGATATTCTTTACATTTGTTGTCCTAATTATTAAGTTAAGAAGTAGTAAATTCCTTACTAATGACACAATTTTTTTTATCCAATAGGTATCAATGGTAATGACTGTACAGAAGACAAATCTCAAAGCCAGTCTATCATCGAATGGTGAAGGTCAATCGAGTGTTATGTCAAGGTGTCGTGCACCAAGTGTAGGTATCGATGTGGACATGGTATCCGAATTTGATCCATCGTCATCAGACAGTGGAGTTGTATCAAGATGTGCAGTGGTGAAACCATTAAAAATACGTCTCTGCCAGCCAATTTTCGGTAAGAAAATGATGGGAAAATTAAAACGTGAACACGGCGAACATGGACGTCATCATGGAAAGGATATTTCTTCCATTGAGGCAAAACCAGCAAAGCCACGCGATCCAGAAAGGGAAAAACGAAGACTGGCAAGGAAAAAGGAGAAGCGTGCAACATTAATACTTGGTCTAATCATGGGCAGTTTCATTGCTTGTTGGTTACCATTCTTTTTCCTCTATATCGTTAAGCCCCTTTTTCCCAATTTAGCAATACCAGCTGAGGCATTTGCAATTGCCTTTTGGCTCGGCTATATGAATTCAGCGCTCAATCCAGTCATTTACACCGTCTTTAACAAGGACTTCCGAAGAGCCTTTCGAAGGATACTGTTTAAATGAGCCTATTCTGGTGTCATATTGACACCTTAAAACAGTTATTAAAAAAATTGAACATTTTTTCATTGAATCTTTGAAAATTCACTCAGTGCTTGCGCGTGTTCACCTCGTTATACTCATCAAATGAGAAATTCGAACCTCCGTATAATAATTCTTTTTTCTTCATTCTTTCTTTTTTGATTAATTTTAACGGACCAAAGAAGACTTTATCTTCATCGAGAATCTCGATTAAAAAGAGAAATTTTTTATCAAATATCAGAATGAGAAAATTTCAATTAAATATAAAGATATTAAATATCTAATAATACCTTATATTAAAAAACGGTAAAAAAGATAAATGGAAAAAATATTATTTGAACCCAGAATTAAATTAATTTTACCAACTAAATCAATCACAGTCCATTTTTAATCCATATTTTCGAAAAATGATATTTCTCATTGAGATAATATTTGATAAAATTTTCTCTAAAGAACCGAGATTCAGTTTCCTCGCCGAAAAAAAGAAAAGGGAGTGTTCTGTAAACGAGGTGTCGTGGCTTGAAAAACGGAAATGAGAAGAAAGAGAAAAACATAAAAATAAAATTGCGGTCTCTTTTGCGAATTTGCAAAATCCATAAAATTCCGCCGGAGTAAAATATTTGTGGTACGACGTCCGAACGAAAACTACTTAGTGTCCTCGCGCACTTTTTTACTTTCTCAAAAAAAGAATATAAGCACTCGAGTGTATATTTCAAAAAAACAAACAAATAAACCTAATATAGATATTATCTCCCCCTATAAACAAAAATAAAACGCAGGTTCGTAAAAACAAACATAAATAAAAAGCGAAATGACGAAAAACAAAAAATAAATGCCGAAAGTTTTGAGACTTTTTTAAAAATTATTCCTATATAGAACAAAAAAAACATCGAGTTAACTAACTCGAAATTCCAAAACATCGAAATCGCTATAATGTCCGTGTAAATAAATCATAAATAGAACGACTCTCAATGTAAGATACAGAAAGAAAGAAAAAAATCTTGTTTAAATAATTTTTAAAAAAATACTTGTGTATAGTGACAATTCGAATAGACGACACGGCTTCTTTGGAAATCTTAGAAGAGAAGAAATAATTTGACAAAAAAGAAAACTAACACTTCAAGACCAAATAATAAAAAAATGTACAAGATTTTCGAAAAAAAGAAATTCATCCCTTTAAAAAGTATTCCTATAGAAGTAAAATAATCACTATGTCAAAAATTTTCAATTATAGAAATTCTCTTTGTAAAAAAAATTTAAACAAGTAGTCTTCCGCGCATCAAATGCATTAAATTCATCGAAAAATAAAATTAAATAAATAATAATAAACTGGAGACCAATCAAATTGTGAAGCGATATATTAAACGTATAGAATTAACAAAAAAAACTATTTCCTAATTGTTAGATTTGTTTCTACATGATATACAATATATAAATAATATATTTATTGTTAGATTTTTAAACAAATATGTCAATAGTCCATTTCTTAATGACTTCTATAGAATTTCCGAAGGATCCTGAACGTCAAATATATATGTAAATATAATAAAAAAATGTAAAGAAATTAATTAATTAATTATAAAAAGCCTGCGAGTCATGAAGAAAATGTAGTCGCCCTTTAAATGATGTTTTACTTGAAAATTTATCTTGTTATTAAATTAAAATTATCTTTCTATATTTAATATATCTAAAAATAAACAAAAAATCATGGAAAAAATTTATAAAGTAATTTTTACTATATTTACAACGTAAAACGAAACTAATGCCATTCTGCGGCAACTTTCACTATTATTGGATAGTAAATTTTACTGTACGTCTGAAGTAAGTTTTGCTAATTTAAATTCAAATTTACTATAGGAGTAATACAATTCATAACAGAAATAGTAGAAATTACTAAATAAATAGTGAAATTTACTACAAGAATAGTAAAAATTACAATAAGAATAGTTAAATTTACTCTGAAAATAGTAAAAATAACAAAAAAAATACGTAAAAATTCCAAACAGTATATATTTGACTATAAAAGTATGGTAAAAATTACTTTATTGCTTTTATCCGTGTCCCTTTTCTTTCGCCTCTTGCTCTTCCTTGTTTCTGCAAAATTGAATCCACAAATAACTCTTTCGGTTCGTCTTGCAAATTAATTTTAAAATTTGAATCTATTTATTATTCACTTTTTTAATCTACAATCTAATCCACAAAAAAAATAATAAACAAATGATTTAGTGTTTTAAAAAAAGTGCTTTACTCTTTTTCTATAAATAATTAAAAAAACGCGTCATCTCCAAAAGTATTTCAATAACCACGACCGTTTTTTCTCTATTGTGTCATAATTATTACAATACGATACTTATTAAATTTTTTTTTCAATTAAATTTAACGAGTTGCGATTGATTTTTTACGCTCTGGGACACATGCAAGTTTATAATGGTGTACCTGTTTTAAAATATAAAAATTTATCATAAATGTAACTTTGTAAAAAGTGTTGCTACATTTATACGTAGCGCGCAGAGAGTTGAAAAATCGAAAATTACGTTTCATTTCACCTGCTGAGAAGCCAAGATTTCCTCTCTAAGTATTAAAATCGTCTCAGTGCGACTTTTAAAAGAAATATTTTCCTTTTTATTATTGCACATGGAAAAAATCGATTAAAGTACCTAACTTTTAACTATATTCGTACAGTGAAACTTAAACTATTAGAAATTTTTGAGTATTTTCTATATAAATTTTTGCTACTTTCGAAATATTAATTTTAGTAAAAATAAGCAAATTTTACTATTTTTGAAGTGTGAAGAAAATTTAAATTTATTTAAATTTATTTAAGTACCTATTTATTACTAATTGATTTAGAATTACACTACCGTCCACGAGTATCAGGACGATTACATTCGACTCTATGAAAAAGCATGGCATCACTTTTTCAATCATATCTCGGAAATAAAAGGAGATACAAAAAAAACTTTAATATGGTAGAAAGCTGATTAAATTTTGCGTAAAATAAGACGTCTTTGAAGTCATTTCGTTAACTATTTGTTGAGTTGTAGAGTGAGAAAGAAATAAAAAATTTAGATAAAATGTTTCTAAAAACACAGAAAACTTTGTTAGAATTTCGGCTTTAAAATATGTCTTCGAAAATTAAAAAAGGTTAATCCGTCTTCGATATATCATTAAAAATGAGAAGCCGTGTTTCGACCGATTGGTGCATTGAAATTCAACTGTGACGACTCGATTGTGGCTTCGCGCGGCAGCGAATGAGAGAGAAAACAGGGACGAATTCATGCGGGGGAACGATGAACTTTTGAGTTTCTTTATATTACTCGTGAAACATCATTATTTATTATTCTCCAGCATAAATTCGTTCTTGTTTTCTCTCTCATTCACTGTCGCGCGAAGCTAGAATCAAGTAGTCACAGTTGAATTTCAATGCACCAATCGGTCGAAATACGGCTTCACATTTTTAATGATATATCGAAGACGGATTAACCTTTTTTAATTTTCGAAGGCATATTTTAAAGCTGAAATTCGAACGAAGATTTCTGTGTTTTTAGAAAAATTTTATTTAAATTTTTCTTGATTTTTGAAAAAGTTGAAGTCAAGAGGCAATAATGAGAAAATTTCATCATTTTTTTTATTTCTTTCTCACTTTACAACTCAACAAAAAGTTAACGAAATGACTTTAAAGACGGCTTATTTTACGCAAAATTTAATCAGCTTTCTAACCGTATTTAAGTTTTTTTTGTATCTCCTTTTATTTCCGAGATATGATTGAAAAAGTGATGCCATGTTTTTTCATAGAGTCGAATGTAATCGTCCTGATACTCGTGGACGGTAGTGTATAAATTTTACTATTTCCGAAGTAAATTTTATAGAAAAAATACTATTTTCGAAGTAAATTTATAGTGGATATTCAAATTTATTTATTATTAATCTATTTAGAAATTTTAATTTTTCTATTTCTGAAATAGGTTTTAGTAAAAATTACTTCGACCGTATAGTAAAATTTATATTGGAATTAGTAAAAGTTACATTATCAAAAATACGCAGAAATTTCAGTTAGGTTTTACTTTAGAAATAGTGAAAATTACTTTATATTTCTCATTAGAATAACTCTTTCTGAGGGAAAAAGAAGCAAAAATGGAATAAAGTATTTTTATCCAACGCCTGCTCTGAAAGGAGTACTTTTCTTGTTAGAAAAGTGTAGCGAAAGTAGAACATTTCTCAACTCCTCTGAAGAGCGTTGCGAAAGTAAAATTTGGCGTGGCGAAAGTAATTTTTAGCGTAGCGAAAGTAAATTTGGCTTGGCGAAAGTAAATCATGACCTAATTTTTTTTTGTTCTTTGACCGAGATATATTTTGTGTCTAACTTCTTCCCCACTCAAAACATTCGTCTTTTATTATATTAAACATAAGCACACGTTAAATTAAAATTATACGAAACTCACGAAGAAACATTTCCTCGCAAGGCATTGGAGAAAACGTAGTGCACAACACGTGGTGAAATAATGATTTTTCCACTAGTTGTGCAATGTACTATTTACTAGAATTACAGTAAAATTTAAACTATCAGAAATTTTTGTATACTTCTAGGGCAATATTTACTTTTTCCGAAGTAAATTTTAGTAAAAAGTAAGCGGTTTAGTAAAATTTACTTCAAAATAAGTAATGATTATTATACAAAAAAGAGGAAAGAATTCCACTTTAGATTTTACTTTATCAATAACAAAAAGTACTTTACGTTTTCTTCGATAAAGTTATATTTCTCATTCAAGTAAATCTTTTCGAGGGGGGTGAGAAGCAAATTGTAACAACAAAATTTGAAACCTCCCAATGCAAAATTTATTTATTTTTCCTCTTTGAAAAATAATGTCAGTAAAGCAGTTATTGAAAAAATTAATTGTTAATTTTTTATAAAGAACTTAATTTAAATTTGTTCTTTTTTATTATTATATATTGTGCACGGAAAAAATTAAAAATAATTCTTAGAAAATAATTATTTTAATTATAACATGTAAGTATAGAAGCAATTTTTTTAACTATTATTAGGTAAAATGTATTTATTTAATTGATAAGTAAATTATTTAAATATCTCTGTCTTGTCCGAAAAGGCACATTTTTATATTTTTTAAAGTCCATGTAGGCATAAATAAATCAATTATTATATATGATTTAAAAAAAATTTTAATTGCACTCAAATTTGAAAAGATTAGCTTTTGATCGGTGATTATTCTGCCTATTTCATCTCGTTTATGAGCGAGTTTTCTCGCCATCTAGACGGACATTTGGGGAATTATTTTGACATTTGAGTATTATTTTTAAATTACTAAAAACTGCTTTAAATTGTTAAAAAATACCTAACTATTAAAAAAATAAATAAACAAATGTTTTGAAATACAGTAGGATCTTTCAATAATGCAGTTCTGAACAGTGCAGTCATTAGTGAGTTGAGTAGACAAGGGGTTTCGGGGGCAAAGGGAATCTGTGACGTCAAATACAGTGCCGTCGCTCATTTGATTATTTAGTATCATTTAGTGGTGCCCGGTATTTAGTAGTGGGGGACCCTTAATTTTCTTGACACTGACCTGAATGTTTTAGTTTTTGCTTGCTTCGAACAGTGCACAATACTTCCGACGACTGCACTATTGAAAGATCCTACTGTAAATTTGAATAAATTAACTATATACATTATTCTAAAAAAACTATTTAATTTCTCAATTCTTTAAATAGCAAATAAACAAAATAACATAATTCAATTTCACATACTAAACTTATAAATTGTTTATAAACGTATTAAAGATCGGATGAATTCCATGTAAAATAATAAATAAATATTTATTGAATTTAGTCATTAATTACACAGCCACACAAAAAAAAAGTTCTGATCTGGGGGTCTCACTATGTAGACTTTATGTTTTTTGGGTCGCTGAATTTGAATCCGAGGTCCATTTAACCCCATCAGATCAGGATTTTGACATAACCTCAAAAAACCAATATGGCGGACACATTTTTGAAAAGTTCATTGGATTCGCTTCAAATTTGTTACTCGGGGGTTTTTGGGGTCGCTGATTACGAATTTGAAGTCTGATTTCAAAAATTCAAAATGGCGGATCCAATATGGCGGACACGTTTTTGAAAAATTCATCGGATTCGCTTGAAATTCGTTACTCGGGGGTTTTTGGGGTCGCTGATTACGAATTTGAAGTCAGATTTCAAAAATTCAAAATGGCGGATCCAATATGTATGTGTCAGCCATATTGGATCCTCCATTTTGAATTTTGAAAAACCGACATCAGATTTGTAATCAGCGACCCCAAAAACCCCAGAGTAACGAATTTCAAGCGAATCCGATGAATTTTTCAAAAACGTGTCCGCCATATTGGATCCGCCATTTTGAATTTTTGAAATCAGACTTCAAATTCGTAATCAGCGACCCCAAAAACCCCCGAGTAACGAATTTGAAGCGAATCCAATGAACTTTTCAAAAATGTGTCCGCCACATTGGTTTTTTGAGGTTATGTCAAAATCCTGATCTGATGAGGTTAAATGGACCTCGGATTCGGATTCAGCGACCCAAAAAACATAAAGTCTACATATTGAGACCCCCAGATCAGAACT